CAAGCGTGCAAGGATACACAGACTTACACACGTACATAAACGTGCACAGGCACACAAACGTACATAGATACACAAACTTACACAGGTACAAAAATGTACACAGGTACACAAACGTACACAGGTACACAAACTTACACAGGTACAAAAATGTTCACAGGTACACAAACGTACACGGGTACACAAACATGCACTCTCCCCGGCGTCCGCAGGAGCCTCCGCGGATCAGCTGACCGTCAGCTGACCCACATAACGGGGAATCCACGCCGAACGAGACCGGGAGCTTGAGCTACTTTTGCCTTTACTTCTCCTATCTATTATTCTTATTTCCCTCTCTCTCTCTCTCTCTCTCTCTCTCTCTCTCTCTCTCTCTCTCTCTCTCTCTCTCTCTCTCTCTCTCTCTCTCTCTCTATCTATCTATCTTTCTTTCCTCTTTCATTTAGAGCCTCTCACTCACCCACCTTTCTCTTTTTTTCCCAGAATGTGAATGAACAAGAAAATTATCACGTTAACCAGGAAGAGCACAGAAAAAAGAACGGCAACATATGGCAACACCGCAAAAATGGAAAGGAGAAGATAATACGATACAAGAGAGGAGGAAACACGAGAGAAAAAATAAACACAAATCACACAACAGAAGAAGAGCAAAAGAAGAATAGAGAGAAGAAAGTCAGGAGGAGAAAGACAAAGGATAAATGGAAGAGGAGGAAACATAAAAGAAAATACGGACTATCCCACAGCAGAGGAAGAGGAAAGGAGGAAAAGAAGGAGGGGAAGAGAAGAAAGTAAGGAGGAGACGGACAAAGGATAAAGACTCGTATATAAGGAGGAAACTTCGGAGAAAAATAATCATCAAAACAACTTATCATCGCAACGCAAAGAGAAGGGTATGGGAGAAAAGGCCGATGAAAGGGAATAAATAAAGATGAAGGAAGGGAGAGAAGAAGAATTAAACAGAAGGGATACAATCAGGAAAGGGAAGAAAAAAATACGAAAATGGACACAAAGAGGGCATAAGAGAAGGAGGAAGAGAAAAGGAGCAAAAGAATGAAGAAAAGGACACGAACAAAAGGGAGAAAGAATAAAGAAAAGGAAGGAAGACTGGCAAAGCATATGGCAAAAACGACAAAGAAAGAATGAAGGAAAGAAGGGAAATATTAAAAGCAAAGAGAAAAGTAAAATGCAATGATAAAAACGGGAAACAGATAAAAAAAAATCATAACAAACATGAAGTAAAAGTGACACGGGACAACAGGAAGCCGAAAGTATTGGGAAAGAATGTAAATATAAGACAAATAAAAATAAAACATATAAAAATAGTAACCCCGCTCCCCCCCAAAAAGAAACAGACACACACAAAAAAAACACCTATGACATAAATCAAACGACCAAAAATCACATATCAAACGAAGAGAAATAAAAAGGAAAAGCGTATCAAAGACAGGATGGAAAAAGACATTACGGGGTAAGACATCTCGACGGCGATCTCCTGCCCTCATCTGGTACGGATACGGGGGAGGGGAGGGGGAGGGGGGAAGAGGGGAAGGGGGTGGGAGGGATAGGGGATGGGGTGGGGGAGGGAGGAAGGAGAGGGAGGGGGGAGGGGAAGGAGGGAGGGGGAGGGGGAGAGAGAGAGAGAGAGAGAGAGAGAGAGAGAGAGAGAGAGAGAGAGAGAGAGAGAGAGAGAGAGAGAGAGAGAGAGAGAGAGAGAGATGGGGGAGGGGGAGGAAGAGGAAATGGAAGAGAGAAAGGGGAGAAGGAACGGAAAAAAAGGGAAGACGCGTAATGGTATCATACGGTAGATGTAATAAATGGAGTGACACAAATGGAGTGATCACAAATCAAAATGGAAATAACGCCCACATAAAGAAACCAAATAACACCCAACGAGCCATAAACAACACCGCACACAAACAACACAAGCAACCTCCTCAGCGTAAAAGGTTCCCTCACAGCGAAGACGACCGGGAAAGGAGACCGAACGACCCCCTCATTTCCCGCCCGCCGCTCGCTTATCTTCGGGGAAACGGACTCTTCGCTAACACTTCGCTAACACTTCGCTAACTCTTCGCTCACTCTTCTTCGCTAACTCTTCTTCGCTAACTCTTCACTCACTCTTCTTCGCTAACTCTTCGCTAAGACGTGCCCGGAGGTTTTCTCTCGTTTTTGTTTTCGTTTTTGTTTTTTTGTGTATTTTTTTCTTTTGTTTGTTTGGTTTCGTATTTTTTCTTAAGTGAGGGAGGAAGGAGACAGGATGGAATGAAGGAATGGAGAGAGAGACATCGGCAAGTTTATTGAGGAGAGCGGTTACGTCTTCATGGGATCCGGTAACATAGGTTATCCTCGCCCTAATGTTGATAATCCACGATAGGGCCGACAGTCTCATGCAAAGCCAACACACAACTCACAGATATGCTGACAAGAAAAAATATTATCATGTCTTTGAAAAATGTACACAGATATGCCGATATGTATGACTATGTAAGTGAGATCTGGAAAAAAAAGTAAAAAAGGAGACACACAGACCCAGCAACGGTAAATAGTTG